CAATTTTCAATCTGTTTGGCTATTTTACCAAAGCTGCAACCACCACTAAATTATTCAGCATACGTGATTACACTGATTTTGCCAAAATTCAGCTGGTTTAGACGGCTTCTTCATTATTTTCAAAAAGACGCTTATTAATCCCTGTTAAAATTCAGTTTTTTACAATTTTAACCCTGTTTGGCTATTTTTTCAGAAACCAAACCATCACCATATTATTCAGCATACTTGATTACATTGATTATGTCAATATTTAGCTGGTTTAGACGCCATCTTCATTATGTTTAAAAGGTCACTAATACTATGTGATATTTAAATTTTTTGGCCAATATCTCAAAAACTATACGTGCTATAAAAGAATAGATTTGATTTATGAAATCAGCATTAAATTTTGTTTCTGAAAAGTAACATTTCAAAAAAAATCGAGAACAGGCGATTTTGCAGGTCCTCCTTAGATTATAACCAGCTTAAGGGAAATTTGTCAAGTAAAGACATTTTTTCCGCTCTTGTACTATGTATCTGTTAATCGATGGTTTTTTTCATGATTAAACTGTAATCAAATTAAAGGTTTCCAAAAAATCGAATCAAATCAACAGATTAAAACTGAATATTCTATTCTCCTACAAGAAAAAAAGAGAAAAATTGTTAATACAGAAAATACCGTTTCTTATGAGATTTAAACTGATTGGTATGCTTTAAACAAAATGGGAGACGTTTAAACATAGCTTACAATTTACTTGTTTAATCAGTTCTGTATTTAAACTCGGAAAAACATTAATGATTATTATATTCAAACTTTATTGATTTTTCTTTTTCAAATATCATTCTTCATCTTAATCTTCACCTCGTTCTATTCACCATCAGAATGACTATTAATCAACACCACTCAAAAAAACAGCGAACTCATTAATTGGTTATCCTGTATTTTGATATTGTAAGTCACATGATGCAACTGACATGGAAGGTTGCAGTTTAAATATATATATGCATATATATATTTATTTATTTATATGAATACCAAAGTTTGTTACTTTAAAGATGTTAATATCGTGAAAGAAGGTAGTCAATATCACGGTTCATTAAGATTATAATTGGAAATGACCTTCGACTTGGCAGCGTATCTTCATTATAAACTTTTTGTTTATCACCTTAATTGATCCTCTCATTTTTTCCAAGCGGTTCTGAGTCATGAATAAACCACACTTTCAACACATGAACAGATCACCGGACTTTTCTGTTGGCAAATTTAGATAAATTTACAAGAGACAATCCATTAACAAATAGATATGTATCCAAATAGAAAATAAATTGTCAAGTTATTGCTACTGTTGATGGTGAAAGTTGATGGCTTTAGGTGTCTTTAAACGTGGTATTGATTATAAATTGCGTGATTTTGAATCGAACAAACATAATAGAAATGTTTTTATGAGCAGAAGTTGCCAAAAAGAGTTGAAATTCATCAGTTGGCCGGAGATATTTAGGCTAATTAAATGGATGTGCTTTAAATGTATTTGTCTGTCTGTTAATCTTTTCAAATTTTCCAGATTCAAGTTCTTGAATCATTATCATCATCCTCTTGAAACATTTCCTCAGAATCACCAGTGTATGAGTAAAGTCGACAAGAAATAGTTTTTTCAACGAGTTTCAATCATTGAAAAGCTATAATTGCCAAATCGTAAATGATCATTTACTACCAAATATGAGATCAATGTCGGGTGCTCCTTTAGGATGTTGATATTTTCGCCTAGAATCTCGATTGAAATTAATAACAAGCATTGAATTATTTTTATCTGTCATTGTTTCCTCCATTTCACGTCTTTCGTTGATATGAAGAGTTAATTTCTTTACTTGTTGTTTCTCTGCTCTTTCAGCTTCCTCTTTTTGCTTTAAGCTTAAAGCTAAGTCCGAATCGATTGGGACTTGCACAGGTTTTAAAAGTGGCTTGTTTCCTTTAGCTCGCGTCATGACCATCAAATTTAATGTTGGTGTTTCGTTGTTATTTAATTTTTCAGAATTCTCTTCGTCTTTAGATGACGCAGCTGATCCAATATCTGAGAAAGCAACCGACTTTTTGGCAGCCACTAATTTATTCATCGGGATCACAATGTCATTAAGAGTACCTCTAATAGCTTCTTGTCCTCTTGAGATTAATGATTCAGACATTATTCGGTCAAACTCTTTTCTGAATAAATCATCTTCCGGACATTCAACAAGTTTTGGTGGCATTGATCGATCATCCAACACCATTCTCTCCTTTTCTCCCTCAGTATCACTTCCTTCGTCAGTATTTGTTAAATTGCTGCTTCGGTTTTTCACTCCTTGATCACCCGATCCTCTATCACGATCGATTTCAGAATTGTTGTCGTCATCACTTTCATCCATATCAGGTAAGTTACATTCTGAATCCAAGTCTTCGTCTACTTCGACGATGGAATTTAATCTTTTATCTTCATCGTCTCCAATTGGTTGCTCAGCATTTGGATCAACATTCAACGTAGGAAATAATTCGCTGAGTTTAGGCTTTAGTTCATTGAAAATTTTTTCGACTTCTTGGTTAGCATCTTCAAGATTTTCCGCAAATTTGAACTTGGGCCGTAATGCATGAATAGTATCTTTGAAAAGAATTTCAAGATTGACTGGAAAAGGATATTCATCTGTATAAAACTCTTGCGACTTTTTAAGCCAAAAATATTTCTGGTAAACAATGATGAAACAATCTAGCTTCTTCTTTGAACTTCCAGAATTGAAATATTGTCCACAGGTTTCCAAAACTTGGCAAATTAATCTGATCCTGAATAAATTATCAGGTGGATCGATCTCAGAGAAAACTTCAGGTGTATTGTAATAAATACCATAGGTAATTAACGAGTAAAGTATCTTGAAAACTACATTTGACTCTATCAACCGATAATTATACATTTCTCCAATATATCTCATGATTGAAATCCTTCTTTGGTTGTACTTTGGATGATTAATTTCCATCATCAGGCGAATATCTTCCAATACTCCATCGATTACTTGAGGAATTACCCAATCTTGATAAGGTATTAAAGCAGCGAGTAGATTGGCAACACATCTTATATTGTAAAAACGAACATTCCATATTGAAGTAAAACATTTTATGGCGTAACTGGAAACATCTGGATCATCCCAATCTAATTTACGGATTAAAATTAATATCTTATCCAAGTTGGTGCGGCACAAGTCTTTATACAATAGTTTTCGAATATATTCATGCATTGGTGGTCTTTCGTGACGAGCGATTGTTTGGGTTTCCGGAGGATTGGCAAAATAATATGCATTCTCGATAGTTGTCATATACCGAGAATCATAAGGGAGTAGACTTTTCTTCCTCATCATTTGTTCCAAAAGTAATTTGCATCTATGATGAGAATCTGGTGATCGGAATAGGTAACGTCCACAGGTTTCCAATAGATTACAGGCCATCTCAATGTGATGATGAACAAAATCATTGAGCAAAAGCTAAAGAATTTCGTAAAAAGAATTTATTAAATGCTTTAAATGAAATATAATAACATTTAGTTCAACTCACCCTCAAACACGCCAGTGCTTCAGACTTTGGGAAAATTTTAAACTTAACAAGCTCTCCAATGAACCTAACGTTTTTAATTTTACTTTCGATGTTGATTTGATCTTTCTTGCGGATCTGAGGTAAAAAACAAATTACGATTAAAATGGTTGAATGCGTGATATACTAATTTTGTCAAGCTTACGTGAAATTTGAAATCTTGTTTTAAAAGTTGGACTAAATCAGTAGCAACATGAGGCATAACAGGAGCTAGAGTTGCGACCAGACGAGAATAAAAAGGTAATAGATCAAGACGCGTCCTAGGAACAGTGAATAGAGCTCGAATCAATTTTTTTCTTGTATATTTTGTATTTAGATTTGTGCAGAAATTTAAAGCTGCTTTGTCAATTATATCACGGTTAACACAGCTGAGTAAAGAAGTGAGAAAAGCTTCTAGAACAACTTTATTAGCTGGTGATGGTTGAACTATTTTGGCCCCTTCACTTTGCTTTTCATCTTTTGATGGTTGACCAGCATCTTTACTCGAATCTTCATCTGTCAACACTCCATTAACTTCTTCTTCATTTATATTTGAAAGCATATCGTCTTCAGAATCCACATTTAACGTTTCTTCTTCATTTTCTTCAAGAACAGTTTCCATGAGACCGACTACAGGTGTTGCGGAGTCTTCAGCTCTACCTTCTTCATCTTTGCTTATTTTATCAGGGACAGCAGCGTCTTTTCTATCCTTAATTCCGTCTTTTGCACTATCTTTGTATAGTATGGAAGGAACTAAAGTTTTGAGATCAGGGATGTCTTCGTAGAAACTTCTTGTGTCTTCATCTTCCCACAGAGCACTTGGATCATACTGAAAGATAAAAAGCAGAAGAAAATAAATAAACTTTGCAAGCTAAAGAAAAGCATAATTTTACCTCTTGGCTTGTCTTGAATCTATTAGAGATATCTAGATTTATTGTGCTTTCGTCCATGTCATCAAGTGAATCTGGAGCCTCTAAAGGTAATTCAGGTAAATCTTCATCCAAAATATCGGCCATTTGTTGAGTTGCTGACCATAATTTTTGAAAAGCTATTTGAGCTTGTTCAAATTTTTCCTTCCTTTTCTCACTTAATTCACCTTTAGATATTAATGTACGACGATTTTGTCGCTCCAATGATTGTAATGATTTATGATCACGAACTATGTGACTTGCTAAACTTTTATAATAATCTTTTAAAAGATTTCTTAATCCTCTTTGACGATCAGATGCTAAAAAATCACTTTTAACCAATGAAATACCATATTTATCAGATAATATACGCATTTTACGTGGAGTTAAACCGGCATAATCATCACCACAATGACGGCAAAATGTTAATATTATATTGATATTGTTATGATTTTCTTTATCACTGGTTACCAGAAGAGTTAATAGATTACCAAGTATGGGAAGACCTTCTTTCAATGTAAATATTCCACATGTTATAAGTTCAGCAAAAAATCTTATATCGATTCTCATTTTGGATAAATTTAAATTTGCCAAATCACTTGGTTTTTTGGGTAAACTTTTATTCCATGAATCTAATAGTTGAGATGAAAAATCTGAATAACGTTGATGTAAAAGTGAACATATTTTGATTGCCATCGGAATATCGGACATTTTTAATTTAGCTTCAACCAAAGCCCCAGCAACTTCAGATATATATTTGGATAAATTTAATGATAACATATCCTTAATAAGACTTTCCTTTTGACCTTCTGTCATGTTACGCAGCTTTTTAACGAATGCACAGTTCTTTTTAACACCACAGTCTAATCCCTGGAGATCTTCCTCTGAACTGGTATAATCTTGACGATCATTTTGAGCTCTTAGTTCAGCTTTTTGTTGAAATTTGTCTTCACATTCTCGTATATATTCACCAAGAAATTCTTTTTCTACGACAGCATCTGCTTGATCACCTGATTCACTTTTATCCTCATTATTGTCGACCATTATAACTCATTAACTTTAGTTTGTGTGTGAATATTAATTAAAGTTGATGTTATTGTTAATCCACGTAATCAAATTCAGTTCAATATGATTACTTAGGTATTTAGAAACCAAATGTTAACACGATTCTTCTGACCAAAAAAAGAGAAAGCGCAAATTTAAACAGTTATAGAGAAGAAAATGCAACACGATTTAAAGTTGACTACAAGGTTATCGTAATGTTGACCATCCAATTTAAATCTCGAAGTTTAAATAAACACAAATAAAGAATCATTTAATCAAATGACAAGCAATTTATAAATTTAACATACAATTTGGTCAGAATGAGAAAAACAAAGACTCAGATACAATGCTTGTGATGAAAATGCATACCTGAGATGGCAGCACTAGCTTTTTGTGGTTCTTTCAATTCAAAATTAATTTTTTCACTTTACATTATTATTTTGTGATTTAAACAATTATTGAATAATTTTATCTGGAATTCTTACAAATTTTTAGATTAGTCGACTTAATTCTATGCTCGAACTAATTAAATTCTGAATTTATTTAATAATCAAAAATGTATAAAAATAAATCTTACTAACAAAGTTACCATTGTAAGTTACCAGTTACCAAGTTTGTAACTGACAATTCTCGAAAATAATGATTATCTTTATTCAAGCAAATGATAAACAGTAATTATCGACTTCTTTTGGATTAAATTGAGTCAAATTTTACTGATTAAAAGTATGAAATTCAATGAAAAACTTGAATATGGTAGAAGCAAACAGAAAATAAGTAATACAACAAGGAATAAAGATCATTCCGTTTTCCAATCGCACTCAAATGTATCTGTTCAGATTTGCTTTTTGTATTAACTATTTTGCCAATCCCGTACAAAGAACAGGTAAAAACTGACTTTTTACATGAAATTAAAACCCTTGAATAGTATTTAATCAGGTGACAGATTTAAAAACAAATTTCGATTAATTTAAACTACATGTAGTTCCTGAGCTTCAATAAGGTATGTAAAGTAAACTTCATTTATTGCTTCCAAGAAGATTTATTCATCTTATTATTATTCAACCATAATCTCACAATATTGAATTTATTTAAAAGATCGCAATTATTGTGATAGTCTTGATACGAATCTGCGTATCCAGCTGGAAAAATTAACAAATTCAGTAATTTGAGATTTTTGAAGCTGGCGCTCATTATTGAGCGCAGTTTATGAATGATCATATTTACTAAATGTTTAGTGAATTGAAATATTTTTATTTTGTTGTGTTAAATTGTCAAAGTTTATTACATTATTGTGATTTGTTAAAATTTATTTAGACTATCTAGTTTCACCAATATGTTAATTAAGTTTAGGTCTTTACTAAATTTTTCATTGTATAGGTCTCAACTTTCCGTATCACCATATGTTTGTTCACGTTGTTTATCCCATCGATCTGACTCTTATTTCACTCTCAATGATGAAAAATTTCGAGTCTATGGACAAGATTTTTTAAAAGATGACTGGACCAGTGTAACACCTTATATTGTCAAGCTCTTACAGCGTAATCTCATTAAAACCCCGCAACAACCGATACATCTTGTCTCAGAAGCCACTAAAAATTTCTTCAGGGGTTATCATGACTTTTATTACGATAATCCGGTTGTGACGCCAGAGGATAATTTTGACGCTCTTTTAATACCTAAAGATCATATATCAAGATCCAAAAAGGACACATATTATTTGACCAAAGATTTTTTACTACGAACCCACACCTCTGCTCATCAGAACCATTGTTTATCCAAAGGAGAAACCAAATTCATTTGTATTGGAGATGTTTACAGGAGAGATGAGATTGATCGCAATCATTATCCAGTTTTTCATCAATGTGAAGCATTTGACACATTTACAGCTCAAGATGTTAGTTGAATGTCCGAAATTCTAACTGATTTGACCCAGATTTTGTGTTTTATTTCAAATTGAATCTTTAAATCTGCATGATACTGTACGAAACCGCTAGTTGATTAGTCAAGTTAGAGATTTTTTACATGTGAAAATTAGATTGTTTCTATCTTTTAATATAATTCATCTTTTTATTTAACAGTTAGGATTACCGACTATCTATAAGGACAATCCAACTACACGAGATGAAAGCAGCCAGGAAAGTTATAGTGCTGAAGCAACTGCTATAGTTGAAGCCAAATTGAAGCAACAGATCGAAAACTATGTCAAATTTCTACTGAATTTCGATTTTGAATCAAGATGGATTCCTGGATATTTTCCATTCACTCATCCAAGTTGGGAATTTGAAATATTATACCAGGGTAAATGGTTAGAAGTCGTTGGATCTGGAATTGTTGAAGAGAAAATATTGCTGAATAACGGAATAACTGGTAAAATTGGATGGGCACTTGGTTTTGGTCTTGAACGATTGGCAATGGTAAGGTACAAGGTACCCGATGTCAGATTATTTTGGTCACAAGATCCTGCTTATTTGATTCAGTTCCGTGATTTGAAGCCAACAGACAACTACGAATTTAAACCAATATCTAAATTTCCAAGTCGAACTTTTGATATTTCTTTTTGGATTCCTGAAGATCTAAATTGGTCAGAAAATGATTTCTACGATTTGTGTCGATCTCTTGGGGAAGAATGTATAGAAATAGTCGATCTAACAGACAACTATGTGAATTCAGATGGACGAAGATCACAATGTTTCAAAGTAGTTTACAGAGGATTTGACCAAGCTATAAGTAAAAGTACGGCCTATGCAATTCATAAGAAAATTGAACAAGAAGTTGTGAATAGATTTAAAGTAGAAATTAGGTAAATTAAATATTCAATCTATCAAGAAATAGACGATATAATTACATTTTATATTTTGATAAGTTAAACTTTGACTTTTACAACTCTAAACTAACTTGATTAAAGAATCTAGATCAAAATTAACAGAATTATTAAATAATTATTATATATTTTATTAACATCCTTAAGTCCATCCGGCGAACAGCATGAACAGATTTATTGTAGTGTTTACCATTCTGATAGTAAAGCTTACTGAATTTAGAGTAGATGACCCATGCAGTGACATGAAAATCAACTTGTTGAGTGATCGATGTTTACGCCATTTAGCGAAACCAACTGTAAGAATTATCAACTTTGAAGCAAAAAAGCATAATTAATAATAAATAATTCATGATTTGATAACATTTTATAGCTCTTTGTGGTAATACTGAATACTAAAGGCTAAATGAAGCGAAAATCAGTGTTCAGTCGGATGGTCAAGAGCATTTCAAATAATGGCATAAGATAAAAAAGATGTTTCAGATTGCGTTTGCTAAATCTGTTTGCTGGCTGAACAATTGGTGTTTCGGAATTTGACTGGTGTAGTGTTTTCAATGAAATTGTCAATTGTTTAATTATCATGATTTTTCCATCATTACCGGCCACAGATCAGAAAACAGAAAGATAATTATATTTGCCAGAACAGTAACGAGAAAAATCTTTTGGTACATTTTTGACATCTTCTAGCTAATAGGCAATATTTGGTGAGCATTGGATGATAATGGCAGTAGAGATGAGACAATTTGATGCAAATCTTTAGACAGGCGAGTAGAAAGAATTGAAATTAATCAGAATTAGAAGGCTGGCATCCAGTTTACGTAAAGATTGTCATTCAAACGAAAAATCTGGCTTTATAATCAACATTAACAAGAGCAAAATGATAACAATTGTCGTTCATTGTGCTCACATTTGGTTCAAGATGAGCAAAAGTATCAGAAACAGTTCAAGTATAAGGGAAGTCCTCATCTTCATTATCATCTCCTTCATCTGATCCCAGAAATAAAGATGATGCTATTTCTACTTTTAATTTTCATCTTTCTCCGGGAATCTATTTCCATGCCAAACCAGTCAACATTTTCCATTGAATTAATATTATAATTAGCAATATTTCTGTTGTTCAAGCTGGAAAATAGACAAATCACGCAAAATGCAAATAGTTCTGATTGATTGATTTAGCTAGATTGATGTTGTAATGCATCATTCTTTCTTCTGATTTCAACACCTAGAACCGATTGTGAATCAGCAAAATATATTCAACCATCAACTATACAAAAGCGACCAGAATAAAGAGACAAAAACGAAAGGCAAATTTACTCAATAGTTTTTGAACAGGTTAACAGGACTCACAGAGATAAACAACAATAACAGACAAAAATCTGAAATTAAATTTGATAGCTGTCATAAATCAGAAGCCCTCTTAGAACCAGAATTGTGATGATCTCCGTGGGATGATAAAGATTGAGATGGTGATTCCTTATCAGTTGTCCAATCATGTATCCATTTTTCCTTTGGTTTTGTTTCAAAACAATAACAGTAACTTATCCTTTCCTCTTCAGCACAAACACCAAAATTTTTGGCACAGGTTGCTTTGCAGATATCGTGGCAATCTTCATCACAATTGTCAACCATAAATCGACAACCAGTAAAGTCACCTAGTAAGGATATGAATTGAATAAGTTGCAATGATAAAATAATAACGACAGTGAGGAATGATAAGTAATAACTGTTGAAACAAATAAATTGCCAACTCTTTCGCAAATTTTGATCAATCGAGTCATAATTTGTACTTAATATTCAGAAAAGATTATAAAATTCTTACCTGGCTTGAATAAATATGCAAAAAGCAGGCAAAGAATGTATAAAAATACTGATCTCATGGTTAATTATTGCGGGTTTGTTGCAAATATCACAGTGAGAAACAGAACGAAAGAACGAAATGATGAAATATTGCAATGTCCAATCAAAGTAGCACTAGCAATTGAAATATAACATTAAACATGACTCAGGTGAGAGCTCGAGATTAAATTGGTTGATGGTTGGGAATCCATAGAGACTGTTGCAAAAATGAGAAGGTGAAGATGACGATCATGGAGGATAGGGTTAAGCAAATAAAATTAAGAATAACGAAAATGATAGATCATGTAGAAGAGAAATAACACAGACAAGGTCTTGAGTGAAAATGAATTGGAATCAGTTTGTTGGAAAAAATGTCTCCTGATGACGCTTTTTCAACTTTCTCACAAAACCGTTTTCACATTGGCTCCAATCCACTTCTATTTGTTTGATTATCTTTTTGTATTAAACATTTGTTATTGTTATTCCTTAAATCATCTTAACCAGCACTTAATGGTTATTTCTCTCTACCATTGAGTCTGATATCCATGTTTTCCCCAAGATTCATTTGACTTTTGTAACGCGACTCAACCATTGTCCAATTGGTTTTAGTTGGCAGCTTAAAGATTGTTTCAAATCTGGTATCATCTAAAGAAGAAAAATAACCATTCATTAAAATTTTTCTAGGTTATAAGATAGTAAATCATTGTCATTAATTTGATAATTTACAGGCTTGTCTAATCTGTATAATCACTAGTTTACTTTTAGTATGCTTTAAAATTAACGCCTGTTTGAGGTTTCTGTACAACAAGTTGTTGGTAATTTTCATTTGAATCAATCCTTGAAATTTCAAGATTAATTAATTATAAGAAGGTAAACATGTTAAATCGCTTTATAAAACATATCAGACTAGATGAGATTTTTAACTTTCACACTCGAGTTAATAGTTACTGAATTAAATTTCATTAATTGGCAACAAGGGGAGTTTAGTTGTGTTTTGTCAGTTACTTTGCTCAATTTCTTTACACCTTCCAACGATAATTAACTTGACTGAATCCCATAGCACTCTTCTGATTTCACCAAATCTTTTTTCCAGCTAATCAATATAGCACTATTTTGATAATGATTATCTCGCAATTAGACACAACCAGTAAGCACTTACAATAATCATGCTGAGATTGATTGATGAATACAACGAGAAAGCCAAATGTAAATGAAGCACTTTCTATCCTCAGCGTTTGTTATGTTTTCAAACCAACCCTTTCCTTCCAACAAAATGAAACAGTAGCTTTTTAGCAAATTTCGCATCAACATTTCAGCTAAATACATGTAATAAGAGTAATACAAGATAATTTGAAACAATAAAAAGATCAATAAACAAAAACATATTTTGAATGAGAATTTTCAATAGTGAAAAGACTTACCCGAGCTATTATAATAAATTCCTCGTCATTGTGGATGATTTATTCCTGAAATGGTCCAAAGGCTGTCAGTTGGGTTCTTAGTGTTGAAGGCGATTTGTCTATAAAACAGATATCCTACAATTTAATTATAATGGCATTAATTGAATCTGAAATGAATCTGAAAAGACTTGCCAGTTCAATTGTTTAACTGTTGAAAGATGGCGTCTATGATAAAATTTAAGCGGGAATTTAATTAGCTACCTTTTAATGAAAAATTTTTGTTAATCTAGATGGCGTAACTTTTTAGCCTTTCTTTGATTGGAGAAAACCCTTTCTCTGATAATTTCCGTTAAAAAGGTTTTTTAACCGTAGATGGTGGTAATTAAAAGCTTATTTTTGTGACAAGCTTTTGTTTTTAACTAACGACCATTTCAATTTCAATTACCGATTACATTCCTTTCCATATTGTGACTTGCCACTTGTTCCTTGTTAAAAATGGTCCAAGAAAATATTGTGCTTCGTTGTGTTCAATGTGACATGTATCAAAGTCAGCTAGTTAAACAGTCCGGCAAATGGACGTGTGTTATCTGTGGACTGAAACAATCAATTCAGAGGGTTTACTATCATGGTTCTGGTGCAGAATGTCGATTGCAGGTTCAAAGGTTAAACATGGCAAATGAATCGTGATAACAAGTTTGTCATCATCTGTTATTAATTGAAACTAGAGCAACGCAATTTTACAACATCAACAGTACATTCATCAGAAACACCAATAACATCAAACTCATCCATCAACATATCGATTTCAGAGTGTAACCAAGGTTGGTATTCAATTGTTCAAACAAATTAAATGCAATAAAAAAACCTTTCCTCTCTATTTAAAGAAATTTGCCGATAATATTAATGTTAAACTTTTCTTTTGACCAGAATCAACTTTAACTGCGAAAACATGTTTACTATGACCTAAGGCTGTTTAATGATGAACCTAATAATAAATGAATTAACCGTTTTCATGTTTCACTTTCTGGTCGTCATCTTAATTTTACATCAACAAACAACAATAAAAATCAACAAAAACAACAATTGGGTTAAAACCAAGTTTGCTTCTGATGCTTAAATTGGACAACAAGATAAAGCTATAATTGCTGACCATTTACAATATTACAAACGGAAAAGCCTACCTAAACATTTAAACAATAAGGAATCAATTGTGAGGCAGAAATAGATACACTATTAAACTGATCAATAAACTCAACACAATGATCCATTAGCGATTCTCACAGTGTGATCAAACCAGATTACACGCTTATTTCAATTTTATATTTTTGATTGTACCCCGAGTATAACATCATGTAATATGCTCCTGACGAAAGTGTAAGCTTCTTCCAATAAATTGTGTTTATTCAAAAGTTGATTGCTGGTATTTCGATTTAACAAATTCGTGCAACCAAAATTATTGAATCAAAATAATTAATCTTCTTTATTTACGTTTAGATCATGGATTAAATTTTCACCTAAAATTTCAAGTTCACATTGGAAAGTCTGGCCTCTACCGGCTTTATTTAACAACTGCAAGATTGTCTCTTTCATCAACATTAACTAGGCGCCTCTTTTTATTTTGCTGTGAATGTTGCTTGTTTTTTGATTAATTACCTGTGTTAGTGTAAAATGGCATTATTATCCGTCTTTATTATAACTTGTTACCAACTAATTGTTAATTAAATTATGTACACTAAATGTAAAGCCGTGTGGGGACATTGGCCTCTCGATTTCAAAATACCATTTAGCTATTTTACATCTCAATGGACATGAGGCGACTCAAGCTTTTACTCCTGCCAATTATTAAACTTGACCAACAATTATAGCCAAGTTGATCATCATCACCATGACTGTTGAGAATCATCATCAACATCCTAATCAACATTACAATCACAACCACCATTTTCATATTCATTAGCTGCTGCTGTAAAAGTTGTCCATCTATTTTGAAAAAATTGAAATAATGAAACGATGATAAAGATTTAATAATCTTCCACTATTTTTTTGAGGTGAGCGTTTTTTCATCATTAACCATTTTTAATATCATTCTTTTAACTTTCATTAATTTTTGTAATCTGATTCTCTTCTGCTTCTTTTTCCATTTCTCAACAGCATCATCATCTTACTTGATTTGCAACTCTTATTTTAGTTACTCTTGATTTGGAAATCTGCACGTTCTTCACTATCGACCTTGTTTTCAGGCCACTTTTCATGTTATATTCCGGTAATCATTTTCATCCTTCTCATCTCCATACAAGTTCATCAAACCTTCTCAATAATAACATTTTATTTCCCAACTGACCCAGTCCCATCATCTGCAGATCCCCGTTTCATCCTTTAAAGGTGGTACCAAAGGTTTTTCATCTTCATCTTGATATGTTTGTGAAACTTCATAAGATTGTTGATGATCATTAACATCTCAAAAATGGTAAACCAACTGAGAAAGTTAATGAATGAGAAAAAAAGAGTGAGATTAGATGATATTTTGATTGGTAAACAGCAATTTCAAGTTTCCTTCAATTCATTCGGGTTTCACTGAATCGTTAGTGAAAGTTTGATGATACATGATTGATACTAATAATATTATCAATTCTAAATTGTTGCTTCTTGATTTCAAATCCATTTGATTTGTTGATTCCAATTGAAGTGGTTACAACAATCTTTGAGCTTAATTCCTATTCCCAAGTAATCGCTAAAATAACACTTAAATGTTTCAACCGTTTCATCTTACATTGGATACATACTTATTGGTACCACTAGTTGTCAATTAGTTGATAATTCATCGGTTAACAGATTAAATTTGTGGGAATTGTAATCCAATAATTCAAAATGAAAATGTTACTTTATGGTGAGTGATACAATTGATCAAAAATTTATTTCGACCATCTATTGGCCTTTGTGGTAAAATTTTATTAATTCCAATTATTTTTATGATATTATCTTTTCTCACAGTAATTATCGGATTACTTACCTCTAGTTATACGATTACACTGACTACTGGTTCAGTTCCTGCTCAAGCTAACGGATTAGTGTCTATGCCATCACCTAAAAATCCATTGGATATTCAAGTGATTAATTCTCTATCATTGCCATCATTATTACCAGTGCCTTCATCTTTTCCTTCATCTTCACCTATTGTATCGCAACCATCATTTAGATCACCAAACCCATCTTTCCCTAATGTTCATCCTCAAATGTTACCAGTGGTTTCACCCAATCAACCTCACCTTTCAAATGGATTAACTTCTAAATTAAAATCAAAATTACCTTTTTGGTCTAAAATGTCACCAGCAGCTGATAAAAGAGCACTGAATTTAGTTCGTCTTACCAATCAATATCAACGTGGTATTCCTAATGCAATGGCTCTTTATCAGGCAATATTAGAGCAACATGAACGTCGCTGGATGTTGGACAGTCCTGAATTTAGACATCAATTTCCACCTGGACATCCTGAAATGATGATGCGAGCCTCCAACAGAAAAGTTGGCAAAGTCGTTAATCGTATCATGTCTAGTTTCATTGGTGATTGTGTTGGTGTAATTATCTCGGAGATATTTCGTAAAATGGGTGAAGTGGCTGGTGAAGTTGCTAGACTGGTTATTAGTAACGCTGCTCGACACATTCTGGGCAGAGAAGAGTTATCGATTAAACCATCATTACCTTCGATTTTACCTTCACCCGACAAGACAGTCAGTCGGATAATCCAAGCGATAAAGCCAAAAGTTACCAAGAAAACGGTCTAACTTTATTCATAATCGACAACACCATTAATACCCTTTTGACCTCGCCATTGGTTTTAATTCTCGCAGTTAATGATCAATATTTTCTCCAAAGAGTTAACTGTGTTCAACTAGACAAGTTCAGAATTTTCAACCGCTTCTATACATTCGTGAAATTTTTATCTGTGATATTTATTCTTCATTATTCATATCGAATCAATTAATCAAAGGACGATAATCAATTTCAATATTGATTTGTATTAATTTTGTTTCTTCAAACATTAAAGAAATCCAATTTACTTACGAAACTTGAATGGTGCTAAAAATATTTTAAAAATAAAAACAGTGCAAGATTATTGAATTGTTCAATGAAGTCAATAGGGAAAATTAATTTACAGATCCTTTCTCTATTTATTAGATGAATTTTTGCTTTTAACACTCAGTTTTGAGTACAAGTATTTGCCCGAATAGCTTAATACCAATGTCCATTTTAATAATCAGGCGAATATCTTTCGATATTCCATCGATTAAGACTTACGTGAGGAATTACCCAATCTTGATAAGGTATTGTAGCAGTGAGTAGATTGTTAAAACATATTATATTGTATAGCATCTCACATTGAAGTACAGTCAAACTTATCAACAGTAAAACATTTCATGGCTTAACTGGAAACATCTCGATCATTTCAATCCAATTTACGGATTAAAATTAATACCTTATCCAATTTGATGCAGCACAAGTCATTATACAACAGTTTCCGAATATACATGTATTCATGATTGGGGGTCTTTCGTGACGAGCGATTGTTTGGCTTTCATTAAGGAGGATGGCAAAATAATATGCATTCTCGATAGTTGTCATATACCGAGAGTCATAAGGGAGTAGACTTTTCTTCCTCATCATTTGTTCCAAAAGTAATTTGCAACACTGATGAGAATCCGGTGATCGAAATAGGTAACGTCCACAGGTTTCCAATAGATTACAGGCCATTTCAATGTGATGATGAACAAAATCATTTAGGAAAAACTAAAGAATTTCGTAAAAAATTGACTAAATGGTTTCAAGGAAATATAATAGTTTAATTTACCCTCAAACACGCTATTGTGTCAGACTTAACAGGAGTTGCGACCAGACGCGGAAAGGTAATAGATCAAGACGGGTTAATTTAAACGCGTAGAGCTCGAATTAATTTTTTTCTTGTATACTGTCATCTAGTGTTGTATTGTTCCGAACCAAATGTGGAACAATTTGTCCTAGGCCCTTCAGATCTATGGAACAAAGAACAACTGAATTTTTTTTGTTCTCGAAAATTTGGAACAAATAAAAGTACAAGAACAGTACAAAAATTTTGTTCCATGTTGATTTACGCAGGTAAACATTAAATAAGGCAAAGAAGTTCACTGATTTGACTTTTTAGTGTTGTACTTTACTCACAAGTATTAATTTTTATCTGCTATCAAGCAACACCATGACTTTAATAATAGCAACCAGTTGTCATTGCATAAAATATTATAGCTTAAAGGGCACGATATTTGACCCTTCATTTCAATGGAACAATTGTTCTTGAGGTTTGTTCTTATCATTTTGTTCTTGTTCTGTTCTATTCTTTCAGTTGTTCTGTTATTCCTTAAGAACAAATATGGTAAATTTGGAACAAATTTCAAGAACAAGAACAAAAACAATTGTACTTTTTTCTAATCTATCAGAACAATACAACACTACTGTCATCTACCAGATAATGGCAGTAGATTATTCAATAGCCCCTCAAACCCTTTGTTTACATCTTCTATAATTGAGATTATAAAGATATTATCAAGAAAATTGAATATTTCTGAAAAATTCAATTCAATTAACGATCCTCAGTGCAATATTTATTTGTATGATGTTTCTAGCAATCGGTTTTTATTTAATGAATCATTGCAATTAATTTTAAATTTTTGCTCATTCAATAGACTTGCTGGGCAAATAAGCTATTTCCAGTTACTGCCATTATCAACCAAAGAGTAAGGTAACCTTACTCTTTGGTTACCACAGCTGAGCAAAGAAGTGAGAAAAGCTTCTAGCACAACTTTATTAGCTGGTGATGGTTGAGCTATTTTGGCCCTTCACTTTGTTTTTCATCTTTTGATGGTTGACCAGCATCTTTACTCGAATCTTCATCTGTCAACACTCCATTAACTTCTTCTTCATTTATATTTGAAAGCATATCGTCTTCAGAATCCACATTTAACGTTTCTTCTTCATTTTCTCCAAACACAGTTTCCATGAGACCAACTACAGGTGTTGCGGAGTCTTCAGCTCTACCTTCTTCATCTTTGCTTATTTTATCTGGGCAGTAGTGTCAGAAATCTAACTGATTTGACTGTACTGGAGATGTTTACAGGAGAGATTAGATTGATCCGTGACCTGAATCCAACAGATAACTACGAATTTAAACCAACCAACTACACGAGATGAAAGCAGCCAGGAAAGTTACAGTGCTAAGCAACTGCTATAGTTGAAGCCAAATTGAAGCAACAGATCGAAAACTATGTCAAATTTTTATTGAATTTCGATTTTGAATCAAGATGGATTCCTGGGTATTTCCATTCACTCATCCAAGTTGGGAATTTGAAATATTATACCAAGGTAAATGGTTAGAAGTCGTCGGATCTGGAATTGTTGAAGAGAAAATATTGCTAAATAATGGAATAACTGGTAAAATTGGATGGGCACTTGGTTTTGGTCTTGAAAGATTGGCAATGGTAAGGTACAAGGTACCCGATGTCAGGTTATTTTGGTCACAAGATCCTGCTTGTTTGATTCAATTCCGTGATTTGAAGCCAACAGATAACTACGAATTTAAACCAATATCTAAATTTCCAAGTCGAACTTTTGATATTTCTTTTTGGATTCCTGATGGTCAATGAGTAAAAGTACGGCATATGCAATCCATAAGAAAATTGAAAAAGAAGTTGTGAATAGAAATCAGATGAATTAGATGCTCAATCTAGCAAGAAATAGGCTTCAATATAATTACATTTTATATTTTGATAAATTACACTTTGGCTTTAACAACGCTAAACTAATTTTCTTAAAGAATCTAAATCAAAATTAACAGGACTATCGATATATTTAGACACTTCTTGACCAAGTAATTGTTGCAACGACGTTTGATCTCTTTTATAAATCCATGAATCGGTCATCCAATCGTACCTTTTAGGACCACTGTAATAAAAGAAAATCAAAATGAAGCTCCAATTTTTATTTTTCAATGATTTATTTTACCTGAAAGGTGAAGACAACCAGATTTGTCTATTGGGTGTCTGTTTATTGATGACATATGTACCATTTCCAGCTAATTTAACCGTCAATACTCCATTCTAATGACAAAGCAAAGAAATTGTAGAAATATTCAATGATTATAAACTCATTATTCAGAATTATGATACGCAAATGAAAGCAATAACAAAATGCAGAATTACCGAAAGCTCAACATCACTATCGTCCAATTTAGTTCGTGACTCAATCATTTCTTCAAATTGTTGGCACAGTAGTTCTAGGGTTTCGTCACTTAATTTCTCATATTTATTAACATCCATAAGTCCATCCGGTGAACAGCATGATGATAATTTCCTTGTTATTAAAAATTTATTGTATTGTTTACCATTCTGATAGAAGAGTTGACTTGACTTAGAGTAGATGACCCATGCAGTTAAATTAACTCGTTGAGTGATCGCTGTTAAAACCATTTCACTATAAAAATGATTAACTTTGAAGTAAAAAAACACAATAAATTCAAACAATTAAGAGTAGAGCAAGATAACAAGAATATCAGCTGAGAGTCACCATCAGAGCTTCTGTTGTCAGGCAATGAAGAGCGCACTTTTTTAAATAAGCTAGTGCGGTAAAAAGACGATTCTTAATCATTCATCTGAATTATTGATTACCAGAAGGTTTAATTTAAAGTGTAAAAATAATTAATAAATATTGTGACAAATTAAAATTGTTTAAACTGACATAAAAGGAAAATAATGAGAAAATGATTTCACTTTTCCCCGAATCACTTGATGCAAGCTTTCACTATGACTTGACAACGTTGACATTCACTTAACTAGTAATTGTGATCCCAATTGGAAAGGTTTATTAACAGATTCAAAGGCTTAATAATTATGACAATTTAACATGATGAAGCTGAAAAGACCCAAAATAATGTAACCATGAGTTGAATTGAAACGCATGCTCGACTAAATGTTATTCAGTTATTCAGACTCAACTTGCCTGTGAACAAGTTTAGATTTGATCGAGCTCTGAAACCCAAAAGGTTAAACAATTTCATCTCAAAATAGCTTGTTCAATGTAAAGTTATCCATTTAGATTGTTCATTGACATGTAAAACTGTTGACCATCCATTGATTCACCAATTGGTGTTAACACAAAATTGTAAGGAATTAACAAATTGTACGGATTCTTGATTAACATGTTTCAGTGTAACATCAACATCAGCAATTAATCAATACCGATAATTGGATCCTTTAAAGACAACAATCAGTGTAAATTGTGTGCATGTGTTGGATTATAATCATTTATGCGATGAAAAAGCCTTAACCAGGATTCATGGCTAAACAATCAACTTACTCATTTTACCTCAAATTAATCAGACTAATTGTTTTATTGTTTATAAACAACGCCAACTATGGATACACCTTAAAAGTAGATGGTAAGTAAATTTTCATCAAAACTCAATTTACATCTCAATTGTCAACATCAACATTGATTAATTTAACATCACCATTCTGTAATATGAACTAGTGTCAAGCAATTATGACAAAAGAAGGACAATTTACTAATTTAAAGTCTACAAGAAATGTTGTATCTGACAACTGACATCTTAAATAATTGACTAACTTGTAAGTTGGTAAAGATTGAGATGCAATTTTTGCTCTATTGAGTTATTGATAATTCAAGCTCAAAGCTCAGGCTTTACTGGCATGAGTTATTGGATTATTTTACATTATTATTGAAACATTGTTTCGATGTTTCGTTAATTATTGATTGAACCTGAACAGATTATTGATAATCATGAAGATCTCAATCTCAGCAAATTTTCGTTTCTCACGAAAGCAATTTTCAAATAACAAAGCCTTTTGTCACAAGAGTTTGATTTTTAAGGTATGACGAGTAATGTTTTGGACTAATTTTTCAACATCCAATTGCGACTGTTAGACTAGACTGACAGGCACCATTTAAACATTAAAACGAAGGTACACTTTTCAAGAACATTTTACGCAAAAATAAACCAATTATGATAAAAAATTATCGAGTTATGATCCTAAATAGACAAAGGCGTCAAAATCTGATTTTTCCTCTCGTAAAAAACCATATATTTTCAACTCCATATCAGGGTTCTAAAGAATCAAAAAGTGGCCAAATTTGGCCTCAAAATTGTTGAAAAAGATGTAACTCGACTAATATAACTCAACATAGATTGATTAAAAGGTCCAGGTCACCATTGAAACGGAGATTTTAAGGAGAGTTGGTAAAAACGAGA